TGATTAGGAGATCGTGTGCTCATTGGCAGTCTCAAAATTCGATAACCTGTTCTCCTCAAACATGTCAAGATCATCAGCAAGAAAGGAAGTCAGAGCTAATGTGGGCCTGAGACCTAAAGAGGTGGGATACTGCAGCTGCAGTATTGAACTCAGACCTCCCCTGACCCGCCCACTGCTCCCCTCAGTAGTATATTTCATTGGATCTGCCTGTTCTGCTCCCCGCTCTGTCTCTGGTGAATCCTCTCACCCCCTGCACCTCCAGCCTATAACCCAGTTCTGTATACATAAAATAAATTTTAAAGAAAAAAAGAATAAACCACAGAAGAGCAATTGTATTTTATCGTGTTGGCAATATAGTGCCTGTAGTTTATGCCGTTTGCCTTCATCAGCCCACCCCTACCACCACCACATCAGAGTGTCCAGCAAAACACTGGACAGGACATCCACACGGCCCCACACAGTGAGCTTACCCAGGATGGAGATCGAGCAAGTCTATGGATTTGGTCTTTAGTTCTCCACTCTTTTCATATTCCAGTAGGATTCCTGCCACAACAAGAGACAGGTTAAGGGACACTCGGGATAGGGTGATGCTGAAAAACAGACTATTTCATCATACTTACTTTTCATTTAGGTTTTTTTTTTTTAATTTTTCAACATAAAAGTTGCCATGCCTGATTCTGAAATGAACTTGTGCAAACTACCCCTCCCCCACTCCTCACCTGACAGCTAACTACACCTGAGAGCAGATGTGCTGACATCACCCAGGTTCAGGAGGAGAAGGTGGATAGTGAGAGGCCTCAGGGCTGGAGACAGAGTGGTGAATCCACTGGGTTTTCTTTAATTTCTTATACACCCCAACCAGGTACTAGAGACACTTGCAGCCTGGAAAACCCCAAATCATAGGCAACAAGAAATACAATAGCAACCACAAAGCCAAAGGGCCAAGAAGGGGGGAGTCAAAGAACTGAAAGGGAGACCTGAGCCCTGTTCTACCACGGAGAGCTCTGTAGCCAGCTTCCCACCACCACTTCAGGGATCCCTGAGCTGCCCAGTCGCTCCCCTCCCCATAGAACCTAGGGCCCCTCAGCAACCCACAGCCTGCAGCAACCCCATAACAAAGCCTCAGACCTTTTCAAACTTTGCTCCACCTGGGATCCCAGTGGGCCATTGGCTTCCAGCAGCTTCAGCCCAGCTCCATGTCTTGCAGAACCCACCCTACAGTAGCCCCCAAAGGGATGCACAACCAGGCAGCCCCAAAGCAGCATCCCCCACCCATGGCACTGCCAGGCTCAGGGGCTGGTTTCCCATCACAACCCCAAGGTCACCGGAGACACTGGCCAATCCCACCTCAGAAATCCTAAGGAAATGCGTATAAAAATGAGACAATGCATAGGTAAGATTCTGCTTTAGTTATGCCACACAGTCTCTATAAAAAGAAAAACATTAGAAGTCAAAGTCTACTACTAAAAATTAGTTGGCTTGCTATACTCATGGGTCTAGAAACTAAAATGCCAAATCTGAAATCAATAATTTGATGTCTGTGCTGTGACCAGTTGTCTGGCTCATATGCTCACCCTTCCACACCCCTGCATTTGAGAGGAGCAAGAGGCTGTGACACCAGTCGTGAAGAATACAGACAGCAGGTGGAGATGCACCCAGAAGTATGTGTTGTCTTCAGTGATTGTTTCCCACATTATCTTAATATGCTTGGTCTTCCCCTGCCTGTGAACCATTACACAACAAGCCTAACTTCCAAAACATTTAGGTAAGCAGCCTCTACCCTCAAAAACCTGTAAGGTACTGAATAAAAGGCCAAGCTCGAAAGATCTGAGGGTTCCTTACCCAGACCATAGGCAGCAAGTATTCAGAATATTAACCAGCTTAATTCATGCTTACTAAGCATTAATAATGTTTACAAATGCTTACAATGCTTATCCTTCTTCTGGCCAAAGAAGTAGGGATTGCATACAATAAATAAAAGATAAAGATTGCCATAACTGAGTCAGCTGAAAAGCACACATTCGACACCTACTCCTCACATCTTGAAGAGCGATGAACTAATGAGTGTGGCAAAGATAAAGAGAGAAAGCATGGTGTTTGATCGGCCATATAACTGCAATGGACATTTAGACATCGAGAACTTAGGTAAGGAGAGGGATTAAGTCAGAGAATGCCAATAAGAGAACGCTCTAGAGCATTTCATCATTCAGGAGCAAGTGGGAGGACTGAAATTAAGAGCATTAGGAAGTGACGGAATTGCTTTATCTGAAAAGGGGATAAAAGTCAAGTTAGCATGATTCAGGGATGAGTGATTTTCTTCCTATTTGCCAATGCTTGTAATATCCACCTGCATTGCAGCAGTCCTGGGAACCTCTCGCCTAACAAGGCTCACCAAAGATTGGAATTCAGCAGTCAAGTGTCTAGCAATCTGATGAGATGACCTCCTTGTTCCAAGGTAAACATTAAAAGGTGCAAGCAGGAATCTAAAGCCTTTCTGGAATGTAAGACTGCTGTTAGAACCCTGGACTTTCCAAGCCCGGAAGGACATCAAGACCACCTCTCTGACCCACCCCTGTTCCACAAAGAGCCCTCAGCTTTCTGTTTCTCACTCATGATGAGTGTGTGGGTGCCCATGTAACACCTGGCTTCACACTCATGCGAGAGATACAGGGTAGACAGAATTGAACAAGCCCCTGTGAAGCTCTTCATCAAGTGCGGGAGATCAGCCATGTAAGTACAACGGAGGTTTGCAGGTAATGCTGAGGAGAAAAGGCAGCAGGGGAAGGAACCATGAAATAGCTTCAGAAGTTGGAAATTCTAGAAGGCGCATGTAAGGTTTCATGCACTTTATTATAGTCACTTCTGTGGAAAGAGCTAAAAAAAAAAAAAAATGCCAGCATGCTGGTATGCAGCTATCAAGTGGGAGATTCTTCTAGCAAAAAAGAGCACCATCTGCAGGGACCTGAAGGGAGCCCCACTGGGCCCACCCAAGGGACCCCGAGAGGAATGGTGTTGCCTGGGGTGGAACAGGCCATGGCGGCCGTGGGCCACAGGGAGGGGAAGCACACGGTTAGGGCCCCGGACACTGTGGTCTTGAAGCTCACAGTCTTTGACGTTGCTGAAATGAAGTCACTGAAGGGTGAGAACAGAACAGTGACATGATCACATTTACGTCCCAGTGAGAGAACCCACTGCTGAGTTGAAAAAAGACAGAAATGGGACAAGAGTGAAACTTCAATAAGAAAACCAGGCACGCTGCTGGCCCCCAGGGACTCCTGCAGGTGCCTGGGGTGCGCAGTAGCTCACCAAGTGGAGAGAGCAGGAGAGCGGAAAGGAGGGGCCCCAGCGCTTGGTGTGAGCAAGTGGCTGACAGGAGGAGGAGGAAGGGCCTGGAGTCTTGTGAGAAGCCTGGAAATGGCCAGAGCCACCCACAGGGCCAGAACCCTGGGACAGGGGTGTGGAAGAAGTGCAGACCTCAGCCAGGGCACCGAGAGGCGAGAGGCAGGACAGGGTGCTGGAGGCAGAAGCTGTGTGTGCCACAGCTATCAAAGGGCAGAGCCATCCATAGGGAAGTGTCAGAAAGTGGGGTGTTGGGGTGTAGAGGGCCGGGGCCTGAGAGGAGGGAGAAGAGAAACCAGAAAGCGGTCTTCTAAGGAGGTCCGCCCCAAGAGGAAGAGACCCCCCACGGAGGGGGTGCTGTGGGGCGCTCATATCACCCCCTCACTGGGGCAAGGCAGAGCAAAGCAAGGGCAAGCCACAATGTGCGTGCTGTGTGCGTTCGAGTCAGTTATCCTGGCTCCAGAACTCGTGTTCTCTGCCCCAATTCAGAAGTCACTGAGCAGGCTGTCTGGGGGAGCGGCTGCCTTCCAGCAAAGCACAGCCCCATGGAGCTGCAGGATGTTTGAGAGCAGGCTGTTCTCTTCATTTACAATTTCCTCCTGGGGACCCCTTAACTGGAACTCTAAGAGGGGGGAGGGGAGAGTGTCACCCAGCAAATGCCAGCTTCACACTGCGGACCTGGCGCTGGCGGGCGGCAGAAGCCAGAAGCGGCAGCCCTGGCATCTGAAATACTTCTTCACAAGTATCTCCACACCTGGAGGGACCCCACTCAGACACCTCTGTGCACTTGCACCGCTGCTTCATGACCCTGAGGGGGGCCCTCCTTGGGGGCCCCTCTGGGCTGGGGAATGCAGCCCCAGCAGAAGAGGCCAGGTCATCCCAGGAGCTGAGTTTCAGGGCAGAGGCGGGCATGTGCAGGGGACACATTAAGGAGACTTCAGAGGATGATAAATAACACACCTGAGACAAGGCAGCAGAGAGAGAGGGGGAGGGGGGAGGGGAGGGCTGCTGTGGTGGGGGAGGAAGGCCTCCCTGTAGGTGACTCTGAGGCAAATGAACACGGAAGCCTGGGGAGACCGTGGAGCAGAGAACAATGGCGGAGAAGCCTCCTCTTTGGATCGGAAGAGCAGTGGAGCAGGAGAAGTGGAGGGAGGGGAGCGCACAGGGCGCCCAGAAGTCTGCAGGGGGTGAGCAGATTTTATCCAGAAGGAGAGAGGATGACGGGGCTGTGGGTCCAGGCGGTGCTGGAGCTGGAGAGCATCAGGGCAAGAGGTGGCCGCGTGGGGGAGCCGCTCACCACTCCCTGCTTGCACGTCTGGACTAGGGCCCCCCTTAGGGCTCCCACAAGCTCCCCGTTTGCTCTCCAGGGCACTTACCCAAAGTTGCACCTAGAGCCCTTGAAAGTGAGTCACCTCCAGCCCAGACACCTGCAGAGTCCCGGGTGCTCGCTCCATTGTTCCCTGTCTCCTGCTGCTCTTCCCCCTGCACCCCTGGCTCGCTGCTCCCCACCGCCCACCTGTGTACTGAGCTAATATGAACCTGGGGTTCCCACTCTCCCCGCTAGGAGCCTGGATGGGTCTCCTGCCCATGCTTGGCCCGTGGCCTGTGCCTCCTGTCTGCAGGTCAGGGCCTGCATAGTTGATATCAGCCAGGGGACCCCAACACAAGACTGTGGGGGATAAAGGTGAAAAGCCAGAATCCAGTCCACACACCAGCAGGGGAAAGTCAGCCGGGCAGGAGAGGAAGAATGCAGGGGCGCACACCCCGGTGGTGTTCTCGGTTGAGTCTGCATTTTCTTGCATTTTCTTTGCACTCCCCACGCTCCTGGGCTTGATCACTCCAGTGTGTTTGAAGTAAAAAGCATGTACATGTCCCTGTGGGTGTTCCCTTGCTGAAAGGAGTACCCCAGGAAATCACCGACCCCCGCCTCTCCTCCCGGCGATTCCTTTTGAAGCAGTGGACAGCTTTATCCCTCCGCAGAAAGGCCTAAGAGTCCTCTGAAAAGTTGCGAGGCGGAGTCCAGCGTCCCACCAGGTGCCCCGGTCCTAGGCGCCCCCCACCTCACCGCAGGCCCCTGGTCCCGGCTCCCTCCTCCGCCCTGGCCCCTCCCTGGCGGGGTCCAGGACGGCTCCAGGTGCGGCCCATCCGTACCTGGCGGGTAGTACCGGAGCAGGAGGCTCTTGAGCTTCATCGTGTGGCTCCCAGAACCCGGGGCTGCCGACATGTAGCCATGGGAACGCGCCAAACAAGCGTGTGCGCGTGCGCAGAAGCCTCTGCGGGCCTCGGGGCCCTGAGCTGGGGCGGGTTTGTGGGGAGCTGCCTGCCTAGCGCGGGGGGTGGGGTTGGAGGGTGGTTCTCTGCGCATCCTGGCACCTGCCGGGAGATAGCTCTGCTCCCGCCACTCGCTTCTACCCCGGGGCTGGGGGGTGGGGGCGTCTTGGGGGTGTGTGTGGGATTTGAGGGTTGGGGGAGGGGGGAGACCCGGGCCCCAAAGCACAGTTCGCTCCAGGCCACCCCACCCTGCGCCCCCTTATCATCATTAACGGGGATCTCACAGGGGCCAGACAGGCCAGGAGGGGAATCCAGGGAGCACCTAAGCCCCCTGGGTTTCCAATCAGGAGGGGTGGGAGGAAAACCCCGTTGCTGACTTGCTGACGGCCCTCCCAGGCCCCTGCGCCCTGCCCCTGAGCCCTTGAGAGGGAAATTACTTCAGGGTGGTAGTGTCACTTCTGCGGCCGCTTCACACGCTTTTGCTCTTAGAGTCCAGACACAGGAATAGGTGGGCCTATTTCCTGCCAGCCCTGTCAGGGAAGTGTCCAGACTGTTGGGGGGCAGGCGGGTACAGAAGACTGTACACCTGCGGCCTCACCTGCCCTGTGCCTGCGGCCCTCAGGCTCCAAGGCCCTCACTTGGCCTGTTCCATTTCTTGCTAGCATAGGTTCTTTGCTTGCCCAGGGAAATTTGGCAAGCAGACAGAAAATTGCCGCGGGAGGAGAAGCTATGGGAGGCATTGCCGCGTCCGGCTAATAGGAGCCGAGACCGGCTAATAGGAGCCGAGTCCGGGGAGGGACGATGAGGTTAAAGAAAACACAGGACACCAAGGTTCTTCATCCAGGAGTCTCTCTTTATTGTCCGTGACCCCCCTTTATATATCATTAGGCAGTAAGGGTCGGAGTTTGGAGGAGAAGAGTGGAATTTTACTGAGAAGGAGGTATGGGGGAAGTGAGGAATTTCTCTTATCACACCTCGCAGGCAACTGCCAGATGCCTGCACTCCCTTTATGGCGCCTCAGGCTGTTAGATAGGATGACCACAAATCTGCCTCCACCTTATCGGTTCAACCATCTATTGCCATGGTAGCACAGCGGTGGGCGCATTCCTCTGGGTCCCAAGAGCTGGGTGCAATCGCGCCAACAAGGCATCTCCTGGCCAGCTCCAGCTCCTGGACTTCTTTTAAGGAGCTTGGCCTCAATACCTCCACTGAGTGTCCCAAGCTTAAGAAATGCCTGTGTTAGCATCACAAATGAGAGACTTCTCCTATGCTTCCAGCCTCCATACCTGAGTTTTCTTTAAGTTCTTACCATGTCTCTAGATTGACTCACTCATTTTACTTCACATTTTCAAAAAAAATAATTTAAAAGCAAATTATTGCAGCTCAGAAGTTTGGAGAGAGAACTGGAATTGGAACATCTCAGTGAAGTGATAGTTAACCTCACATAAATAGGCAACACATACATTATTTTATCCACAGCAATAAGCATCCCACACTTGGGAAATGGGAACCCAATGAAATCAAAACCCTTTTCCAGGTCATTAAAAATCTGGAAAAGGTTTAAAATAAGGAGGGGCAAAGCGTTATCTACAGAAATGAAGGATCTTTGGCAGATTTGTTCACCCGTGTAATTTCTTATGCTTGTGCCATTTAAAATGAGGCCTTTTGGCCCTCCCTGGTGGCGCAACAGGTTCAAGCCCAGTGCTATGAAGCTGTCCACAGCCACTGCAGCACCGATTCTAATCTCTGACCAGGGACCTGACCCACAGGCAAGCAGACCTCTCCTGTCTCCCCTCTGCTCCCCTCAGCAGTGGATTTCAGTAGATTTGCCTGTTCTGCTCCCCACTCTGCCTCTGGTGGACCCCCTCACCCTCCCCACCTCTATCCTGTACCCCAGTTCTTGTATGCATATATAAATGATTTTTTAAAATAATAAATAAAACAAGGTCTTTCAAGTTGGGGGCAGGGGAACTAGGAATGGGAAAAGGTGGGATGGACAAGTATTAGATACTAATTGAGTGGAGAACGTGTCAAGTTGTCCCCTCTGTGCTCTAAGCGGGGCTCAATCACCCAGGAGCCCCCCTTCTGCACAAGACCTCCGGTAAAGGACCTAGAACTACAGGTGAGCACCAGGTTGAGAAAGTGTCACTGGCCGGGGAGCCTGAGACCTTAGAAATCTGCCTGGAGGCTCTGATCGCCAGGCTGCACCCAATTCTGGTGTGGGGGCACTATCTGTAGCCAGGCCTCAGACAAAGCCTCTGTGATGATCTCTGTGAGGGGGTTGGCAACACCACTCTGATGTTAACCCCAAAAGGACTCCTCAATGACCAGTAGGCAGCGTCTTCTGTACTTCTCCTCAGCTCACTTCTTGCTCCCCCTAATTTTATCTTTTTCATTTCTATGTATAGCACACACATCCATGCTGTTACCAACAGCAACAGTTCTTCCGTGGGATAAGCATTGCCTACCTTTGTTTGTCACTCAGTGTTAGGTCTCCTGGCTCGTTTATTTCAACAGGTGTCTACAGTCACTGTCACTCATTTCTATTTCTTTACTAATGTCCGCTGTGTGAATGCACCATGATTAACCATTCTTCTGTTGATGAACAGGTAAGTTGACCAGTTTCCTGTTTTGTAAACAGTACTGCTATGAAAATAATAAACTAAATGAGGCCTCTAGAGCAATAGTAACTTCATAGTGGAGCAAACTTGTAGACACCATTAGCCGGGTAGTCAAAGTTCACCACTACAGGGGTAGACTGACTTCCTATACCTCCCATGCTGGAAAGCACAGGACATTTCATTGTAATTCATGTCCTCGGTGCATTACTGCCTTTCACCTTTAGGAAACATCAGAGAACCCATCCTGAAATTATATAAAGTAACTGTCAATGTCAAGAAAGATTTAGACTGAAAAAACACTCCAGATTAGACAATACTAAAAAGCTAGAAGAGCTAAATGCACAGAGAGATTGTGGGTCTGCAACCAGGAGAATAATTAGCTAAAAGAACACGGTGAGCACACTGGTTGAAATTTGAATGCAGACTGTGGTTCAGATCACAGTATTAGATCATTGTTCTGTGGTTACATAAGACAGCTTCTTGTTCTACAGGAAAACACACCAATTTACTTTGAGATAAAGGGATATGCTACCTGCAATGAACTCCCGTGTGGTTTATTTTAATAATTAAACATGTATGTGCATTTAGACAAAGCACATATGAGACAAAAGCAGTGTTGACTCCAGGCAGAGTGCCTTTGGGGGATTTTCTTAAATTCTTTCTACTTCTACTTACAGGCCATTTCTTAGGAGAAGACAAATCTACTTGGCTGGACAGAGAAAGTTTGTCCCCAGGAATGCAAACTAGTTTTAATATTTACACTAGTTGTATATTTACCTGGCAGGGGAGAAACCATGATCACGAAGGTGGTTTTCCCAGGGCGAGGCTTATCCAGTGCACTCCGGATGTGCTGACCCCTGCGATTCCCCCAAATGTGGGAAGCTCGACTGTAATTTGTGGTAGTGGGAGAAAAATAAAATATTTATACTAGTTGTACTAACACTTGTCTGTGGTAGCTAACAGGTTAGTTTCTCAATCTGCTGGTGGCGGTGGTCACGCCTGGGTTGGGAGCACTGGGCGGGTTCCCTTTGCCCTGCCTGAAATGTGGGTCACTGTCAGATGAGCACACCGGGCTGTGGTTTGCGCAGTGCCACCAGCAGTATGAGCTGTGACTTGAGGCAAATGATAGGACGGTGTCACCTCTGGGTTAGAGGATTCCCAGTGTGTCTCTTGCTCCCCAGGCCTCCCAGGGCCAGCTTGCTGGGCAAGCAGAGAGACCAAGCTGAGCTCACACCAGGCACCCAAATTCCTCCTCTCTGGCTCAGCTTTAGTTAACTGCCCAGACTTCCCTTCCACCCAGGAGGTCCAGACCTCAAGGAAATGCCGAGTGCAGGGGCTGTGTTGATCCTTCCAAGCTGCCCTTGACTGACCCCAGTGGCTCAAAAGCCCCACGTCTCCCTGCATCCTTATTTGGCTCAGTTTCTGCTGCAAAGCTTAGGAAAGAATGTCACTCGAGGCTCGTTAGAATTGCCAGAACCAGGTGTCCTTCCATGGGTGACATCGCAGCCCCGAAAGGATGCAAGTCGGAGCCAGAGGAGACTAAAGTTTGAATCCAAGTCTGCCGCTTTCTACCAGGATCACGATGAGAACCTGTTACCTCCACTTATGGGGGGAAGCAGGAGCGCTGGCTCATGGGATTCCTGTACAGGTTAAATGATAAAAATGGCAAGTTACCACTTTTAGTTTCTAGGCACCTAGAATGTTCTTTAGACACTGTGATGATCAGTCTCGGTGACTTACTTAGTTGACATGCTAACATTCATCACCTCTGTGAGATGCACCTCAGTTTTGTTGCCCTTCTCTTTTATGGCATAGAAGAACTGGGGTGTAGGCCAGAGATGCAGGGGTGAGAGGATTCACCAGAGTGGGGAGCAGAGCGGGCAGATCCACTGAAATCCACTGTTGAGGGGACTGGCGGGGAGATAGGAGAGGTCTGCTGTGCCCTGTGGGTCACTCCCTGGCTGGGGATCGTACTCAGGCTGCAGAGAAGATAGCAGTGAGTCTCTGCCCCTGGGCCACCAGGGAAGCCTTTGTGCACTTGTGTTTACTGAGCACCACGGAGATTGGTTCCAAATCGAAGGCTTGTGACTGCGTTGAGCTGGCCTTGCAGCATGATCCTTCCCATTGTGCGTGCTCACGTTGTATCTCTGTATTATAGCTAATCAAACCATCCTAGACACACGAGGCCTGGTAGATACACCCAATAGATAGCAGCCTTCACACTTACTGGGCATGCATAATAAACTCCACTATAGACGTCGCTCGTACATACTCTGGGAAACCAGAAAAGTTCACATGA